CAATTAAAAATTGTTCGGCTTGAAAAAATTAGCCTGAAGTAATGTCTAATCACTAATGTTTTATATTTTATATCTACTATATATAATCTCTCTCATAAAATTAGTGTGATGGAATATTTAATGTTTTGTATTATTCATCCATATTTTTGTAGATATACACCAATTCATTTGTCCAACTAGTGTATAAATTATCATATTATAAATAGATCCATCTTAGACTTACATTTAAGTTCCAGCGACACCAGTTCCTTCTGATTTTGGGGTTCCATTTAACAATCATGGTCAGTCTTTTTGTAAAAAAAATATAGAAATATTAGTGAAAATTATATAGCTAATCAAGTATAATCGATATTAAACTAACAGCTCATTGTCTGACTGCCTCATTGTCTGACTGCCTAAGTAAATTATCCATCTTAGGATTTCATTTAAGTTCTAGAGCACCATTTACTTCTAATCTTAGAGTTTCATTTAAGATCAGGGTCAGTCTTTATGTGCGTTGGCATATTATTAAAGAAATCGGTTCTTAGCAACGTCCGATTATATGTTGTTGTTTTTACGTGTAAGTAATAGATAAGAGATGTGAATTAACATGTTCCTAATTTTTTTTTTATCACGACCAATTATATGTTACGTGTGTAAGTAATAGGTCAAGAAGAGTCAATGTCAACGTTTATTGTACGTTGGCATGTTAAGTAGTAGATCAAGAAGAGTCAAGGTAAACATTTATTGTACGTTGACATGTTCTTAAAGAAATCGATTTTTAGTGACGGACAATTATGTTGTTTGTTTCGCGTGTAAATAATAGAAAATGTTGAAAATATTAGTTTGTGGGGACGACGAGTTGCTCAGTTATTGACCAAATAATGTTGTGTACAAGAAAGTTTAAATAATATATTTTTTTGCATGAGGAACATTTTATGGTTTGATAATTTTCCTACGAATTATCACTCTTTTATTTATTAATACAATTTAATTTTTAATATTCTCTAAAGTAAATACAGTTCGTGCATCGCACGGGTTACATACTAGTATTATATATAATTTCTTAAAGATAATAAATTAATATTTAATTCAACAATTGATATGGTAATCCATCAGTAGAAAAGCGACCAGTTGACCCCAAGCCTCATTCGAATTTCAAAAATTTAAACTACACATGACCAAAATCGGTTTCAGACCTGCTTCTAGGTCGAAACCGCCCCAACTGGTCCGAGCATATGCAAAAGTGGGTTTAGTGAATCGGCGTTTCTTGGATGATTGGTGAACCGTTGGTTCTGGGCCTGCCCAATTCACTAAAAAAATATAAAAATAATAAAAAATTAAAGAAAAAAGGATTGAACGATCGGTTTCGGTTTTGAACAGGCTCGACAATTCGAAAAGTAAATATATGTAGCCGGAACCGACTTAGTCAAACCACGGGTTTGGTTCAAGGCTCGTTGACCACGGGCCTCTTGTTCCGTCCTATTCGGCCAGTGGTCATGTCTAATGGTAACTAATAACTAATTGAACGGGTGGGCCAATTCTTACTAATACCATATATCCAGGGACCAAATGGATATATTTGAAAACTTTTAGAAGCTATCCTTCGCCTCTATAAGTTCAAGCAAAAACAGAACTAAGTTGTTTCTACTAATAAATCTCCAAATTTTCCTTTTGGTAGATTATAATCAAAAGCTCCAAATTCTATGCAAGAAAACATCTCTGTTAAATTTTTTCTTCACTAAAAATTCCCATCTCTCTCTCTCTCTCTCTCTCTCTCTCTCTCTCTCTCTAAAAATGCTTTTCAGAGTCACAATCTTTAGATTTTCGCGATAAATCTGTTGTAGTTTCGAATTTTCATACTTAAAATTCCAAAAAACAATTGAATCTTTCCAGCAAATCCATGGAGGATTGCAGCGTTTATGATGATTCTCATGTTCAAAATGTCACTTGTTCTTCACAGGCTCTCGATTCTATCTGGGTTCCAAATTCTTCTTCACCTTCTTTCCATGGTAATCTCATATGAGAAAATTAAGATCTTTTTACATGTTTTATTTTGCTGCTTGTGAATTATTTGGTCTATCTTCAGTTCAGTGGTAAAGGGCAAAAAAAGATGAGTATTTGGTCAGTTGAATAGTTTTTCATGCATTGCCTTTAAGGTGTTTGATCAATTGCTTTAGTGAACAAAAGTAGCTTTCTTGAATATACAATTAGAATCCAATAAAGATAAAAGCTTTTGGGAACTAAAGCAGAGTCCAATCAATCATTGCTGTTCTTTTTTTTCTCTTTATCTCTTTTTTAACTAGAAATTGAACATTTATTTTTTATTTTTTTTTTTCCTGTTTTGATTTTTTCTGCTTCAGTCCCTGCTTCCATGGTGAATTTCCAAAATGCCCACGAAGATCAAGATCCTCCTCGAACACAATTCATCGAACAAGACGATAACGTCGAGCAGAATCAAAACGAGTTCGAAGACTTTTATCCCCGGCCCGAAAAGAAGAGGCGGCTCAACCCGAACCAGGTCCGATTTCTCGAGAAGAGCTTCGAGGTGGAAAACAAGCTCGAGCCCGACCGGAAAATCCGGCTGGCTAAAGAACTCGGCTTGCAGCCTCGACAGGTGGCGATTTGGTTCCAAAATCGAAGAGCCCGGTCCAAAACCAAGGTTCTTGAGAAAGAATATGATTCTCTGAAAGCAAGCCATGATAAGCTCAAGGCTGATTATGATTCCCTTTTTGCAGAGAATGAGAAGTTGAAAAATGAGGTATTGGGAAAAAAAATGTGATCTTGAAAGAAGAAGTGTTTTTTATTCTCTTTTAATAAGATCTGTTTTTGTGGGCATAGGTTCAGCTGCTGAGAAAGAAACTGATTTCGAAAGAGGGTTTAGAGAAGGAGCCCGAAAAATGCGAGCCCGTGATAAGCCCGCTCGATTTTCATCCAAAGATTACGTTTTTATTGGGAAATAGCGGCTCGGAGGTTGTACCCGAGACAGGGTACAAGCAGGAAGATGCGGCCAGCTCGGCAAAGAGCGATGTGTTCGACTCGGACAGCCCACATTGTGCGGATGGGAATAACTACTCGCATGTTTTCGAGTCGGATTTTTCGCAAGACGAGGATGAAAACGTTAAAAAGAGCCTCTTGCACTTGCCCAAAATCGAAGTCGAATGGTGTGGTGATGATGATGATTTGCAGCCAAATTCATGCAATTTGGGGTTTCCTGTACAGGATCAAGGCACTTGGTTCTGGCAATATTGAAGTGTTTTATGTCTTTTGTAAATAAGTTGAGGAAAAATAATGAAGATTCTCAAGTTTGTTTTGTTTTTGTTTTTTTGTTTTTTTTTTTTTTTTAATCTTTCCAAGAATGTTTTATGTTATTGTTTGCTTCTTCTACCAACTATTTTGTGAAAGTGATGAAATTTGGTGTCCTTGAATGATATGATATGATCAAACTAAAGACTATAAGATTAACTCATTATTGTTTGCCATTGTTGGTGAAAAGGGACAAAACTAAGAAGCATGTTTGAGGATAATAAAAAAAAAAATAAAAAATAAAAAATGAATTGTGTTCCAAACTGCAAATACTCATATGAATATGATTTTCAATTGCAAATTGCATTTGTTGAGGATAGATAGATGAGAAAATTTTGATTTATGTGTAGTATATCTTTTACCGTTAGACAGCCTAACAGTAGTATTTAATTGAAGAAGATGAATGATGAAAAAAGCTCAATTTCATGTGTCGTATATATTTTACCGTTAGACAGCCTAACAACGACATTTATTGAAAGCTAGAAAACGAGAAAAGCTCAATTGGTTTCAATGTTATCCTTTTTTTTTGTACAAGATAAGAGGTCGAAGCTAACGGACACTAGAGCATCACACGACGTGGGTGAGCCACGCCTAAGATATCATGATATAGCCAATGGTCAAGATCCCGCAGCTTGGTCAGAAGACGATGATAACCAACCGGGACATTAGCAGCTAGCGAAGCTAACGTATCGGTCGAGAAATTCCCTTCCCGATATGGACAATCGAACACACCACTCCTTCCTGAGTAACTCACGAATGGCCATAATAAGAGTTCCATGAAGACCAAGATTATCCTCAGTCCTCGTCACCATAACTACGACACTACTATTATCCACTTCCACCAACACTTGTCACGCTCCCAAATCACAAGCCAATCCAAGTCCATGGAAGGGACCTCATATTTTCGCCCCAATGATAGAACAAAAACCCACATTCATAAGGAATCCGCCAAACCAGTGACTATTCAAATCGCGTGCTAGCCCTCCTACACTACCCCTGCCAGAAGCTGTAGAAAGAGCGACATCAGTTATGCTCAGATAGCGGTCCACGCAGCGGTTTCAATGTCATTCTTTAATAATCAAGCAGCCTAACACAAGTATTTGCCTTCTTTCACATGTCTAAAAGAAACATGTAGCTCCCCTTTATACTTGTTCTATTTCTTGATATATTGTGTTCTAATTGCCACAATTAAGTAGTAGAACGGCATAGTTAATCTCAAAATTATCAAGAATTTTATCAAGAATATGAGATTTTCAATTTTATTCATACTTCTTCTAGAATGCAAAAAACTAACACACAAACATAAGTCATTACGTCATTCTAGTTCCAATTTATTGAAAAAAAAATAAAAAATAAATAAATAAATAAATAAATAAATAAAAAGAGTGGGTGTTGCAGCTGAGTTTGAATCCTGACAAATTGGAAGAGAAAATGGGGAAAAAAGAAATGGCCACAAAAAGTCATAAACTTTAACCCAAAGTTGGTCGAATAGGCAATGACTTTTAAGCCGCTTTAGGTATAGTGTAGATGCTGACATTTTTGTCTCCTTCTTATTCTATGTGAGCTGTATATGAAAATAAATAAATTAAAAATATAAATCTTTACTTTATACTACATTTTTTTATATTTTCAAGAAGAATCTCAAACTTCTGAGCTCTGACAAATCTGATATTTGCTGATTACAAAGAGGGTGATGAGTTTGTGTAATTTCTCAAGTTATCCCTTCTATCCATATTGATTTAAAATGTGTTGAGCTTAATTGACATATTTTCATGCTTCGAATGCTGATATGACAAAAATCTATGCTTCGTAATGTTGTTCTTATATTATTTTTGCTCTGGAGTTAGGTTTTATTAGACATAAATAACTTTACACATATATTCATTAACTCAACACTCATGTTGTACATGAGTATTAGTACTAGTGTAGGTTTTAAACCATTATTATTCGGCAAACTTTAAAAGATAGTCCACTATGTTGGCAATTTTCCAAAAAACGTCTATCATCTAAGGCGTCATCAATAATGGTCCCCTACGTTGCCAATTTAATCAACAATCGTACAATAACCAACATAGTGTACTAAAAGTGATCATTTTTAATTGTCATATTTAGTACATTATGTTGGCTTTTGTACCAATTTTGATTAAAATGACAATTTAGTGGACCATTCTTAAAGACGCCCTATATGATGGATCATTTGCAAAAAATGACCAACATAGTGAACTAAAAATGAAATTTAGCCATTATTATTCTCGTGATGGAAAATATACTATATAGATTGAGTTTTTAACATATAATGAGTTTAGGTTTGTTTAAGAATGTTTTTGTTAATCACTTTATAACTTCATAATTTATTTAATTAGCTGGTAAAAAAAATTTAATATTCAATTAAAAGATTTTGTTGGTATGGTAAAAGAATTTAAAAGTTCGAGCTTATTCTATGTGATATATATATATATATATATAGTTTTTCAAATATTTTTTTTTTTTGTTTCAGCTAACTTATAAGTTAATTTTATTAAATGTTTTTATTATTTTGTGTAATTTTTCTATCATCAAATAGTTTTTTAGTTATAAATTATGTGCTCAAAATTTACTTATTAATTCACAGTCAATTTATCCTCTATCGACGAACTTTTCATCTAGATCTATCAAATATATCTCAAAAAAAAAAAGGAAAAAGAAAAAAAAAAGATTTATCAAATATATCCAAAATTGTATTCAAAGTTTAGCGTTTAGTTGTTGAGTTTTGCTTGATCATTAGTTACTATATCCAAAATATTTATGTAGTACCGTTTCAAATAAAAAATAATGAGAATTTTGTTTCGACAATCTAATTATACCAAAAATAATGCTTCCGTTATTGCATCAATCAAATAATGGACCTTTTTGTTTCGTCAAATAATTATACCAAACACTTTTATTGTACATTTCGAATTTTTACTTTTCAGCCATTTAACTACATACTCGAAAATTTATCAACTATCAGATAGTTTTTCACTTAAATCAACATACGTTGCTCTGATTAGATTATAAATTGAGCTCATCAAATAGTTCAAATACAAGACAAAATTGAGTTGAGATATGTAAATTTCGTCACCTTTCATCCGTTTGTGCTAGATGAAACGAATCTTAATTGATTAAATCTTTAATTAAATTTTGAGTATACAAATCGAATTTATTGTTTTTTCAAACCCCTATTTGTTATTAGCCTGATCATAATCTGGTTTAGGATTTGATGCACTGACAAAATAATGCGGCTGAGAAACAAATTAGTGTAAAGTTGAAGGTGCATGTGAACAAATTTCAACGCATAAATATAGTAAACTAATTAAATTAATGTCGTGTATTGCAAGAATTGCTCAAGGAGTGGTAAACTTTAATGTTAAAATAATAAAGGGTATATTTTTTTATATATTATCTGAAAAAAAATAAATGTGTGTTTGCTGTATGATGATCTGTAAAATACTAAAAATGACAAAATGGACAGGCTTTTGTTTGAAAAAAAATTATATAAGTAGTGCAATATATTAAGTAGGTTAGAGTAATAGAGTTATAGGATAATTAAGATAAGGTTTGCACATTTCAAATGATTGATTAATTAAGTTCAAAAATTGTTATTATAATGTGTCCTATGCATACAATTCATTTAACATAAAAGCTAGTTGAAATTATAAAAACAATTTTTTAATATAATTAATCAATCATTTGAAATGTGCAAACCTTATCTTAATTCTCCTATAACTCTATAAGTTCATGATAAATTAGAGAATAGTTTATAAGTGAATTTCGAGAGTATAGATAATATATTGTGGCTAAAAAGCTAGGTAATATAATAGGGAAATGTTACGGTCCCGTCACGGAACGGAGTTTGTAATCGTTAAATCAACTATTCCGTCGGTTACACGATGATTTAACGGTTACAAACTAATGGTTCCGTAACGGGACTGTAGCATTTCCTAATATAATACATGTGTTTAGTAAAATTAACTGATAAGTCAAATGAAGTAATGAAACAAAATTTTCAATATTTTTTTTTAAATAGCTAGAGCCTTCTAATTCGTGTGAGCATTCTAAATCTTTATGATATCATTGCATATGTGTGTTGATTTTTTTAGAGATTTTTGTAAATATATTCTTTTTTGGTACCTCTTTTGAAAAATGCTTCTTATGTGTTTGTCAATAATGGTCTACTAAAGTAAGAATAAATTAATAACAAGAAAGAATGAAGCTACTTACTTACCTTGATTTGAAATAATTACCAATTTTCATGCATGTAAAGTCTAATTCATAAAAGCATATTTGGTAGAAATGATAAATATGATGTTAAATATAAAAAAAAAAATGCTTGATTAAAATTTAATATGATATCTAAATGGTTGTAGCATTTTAAGAATATATTTATTATTAATAATAATCTAATTGATACCAATCCAAATCTCCACATCCCTCTATCTATTAATTCAGAACATGCGGAGCTTAACTGGCAGATTTGTATGTTTCGGGATCATATGTGGCAAAATTACGTTATTAGGTTTGGGTAGATTTAATTTACTTCTAATCCAAAAACAACAGGTTCGGATTATCCATAAATATGTTGATTATTTATGGTCACGTTACATGTATTAATTTTACTTTAATAAAATTTTTATTATAACCATTAAATTGTAAATGTATTTTAACAGTTAACTAGCGCGTTACCCGTGCGATGCACGAGATAGTTTTATTAAGGTAAATATTTAGATTTAGATGAATGGATAATTTGAAGAATGTAAACGCATGTATTGAAATAAAGCAGATGTAACTTATATACATTATTAAACACATCATTGTACACAATATTATTTGTTTGGTCTTTTGGTACATAGTATTTCGCATTGAATCGCCAAATATAACAGGAATTGTAAAACGTTTATCTTGATAATCTATAGCAGTATTATTTTAAA